ATGTTCTGGAAGGCTAGCTGTGAAGGTTGGGCAGGACTGAAACCAGGGAATCTTCTGGAAGGCTAGCTGTGAGGGTTGGGCAGGGCTGAAAACCAAGAATCTTCTGGAAGGCTAGCTGTGAGGGTTGGGCATGTAAATAAGGGGCACAGATCCCTCCCTTCCTTTTCTTAACCACCCCCCATGCCTCCTCCCTAAGGGAAAAAAGGAACAGAATGGTAGCACCTGAAGTAGTGGGAGTGGAGAAGGAATGCTGCTCCGGCTGGCTGCATTCATTGAGGTTTTGAAATTATAAAGTTCGTTAGACTTGAAAGGACATATTTTGAGCTATTTCTGTTCCTGTTTCTGCAGTATTTTGTTTTGCGGGCAGATTTCAAGGCTGAGAGAAGCTACTTGAAAAATAATAACAATACAGTTTACCTTAAAACCTTCATTGTGTAGTTGTTCCGCCACACCAAGGAATCTTGGACGAAATGATTGCTGAAAGGAAATTTGGCAAAATTAACCCCCTTGATATACATGCTTCTTACTTAGTCATGTGCAATGTGGTGTTCCTGTCATAAAAGACAGTGTGATATGTTGCTGAGTGCTTTATATTCAAAGATGACAATGTTTTGTCCTTTTATCTTCCTGTAGTGTATTCATTTATTCTCTGACACAGATGAAATTCCATTCACATTCTCTTGTTCTCTGCTTTTTGCCTTATGCCTAAACCCTTTCATCCCTTACCAAACCCACTCAGTCTTTGTAGGTTTAGGTCCATCCCTCTTCTGTGCCAACACTTTGCCTGATCAGGGAGAATTTCAAAGACACCCGGCTTAGGACCTGAACACGAAGTCTGCCTAGCTGGTCGTTTCTCCTGCTCTAGTTGCTGAGTTCTAATTGTTGTATGGCCTTCAATAACAGCCAACTGTCCTAGTGGCTCATCTAGAGATCTCTGCAAAAACTTAATCATTTAAAATTCAATTTTGCAATTACTGTAAGGTAATAAAAGATTGTGGTTAAAGAATAAGCACTGGAATTACTAAGTTACATATCAAATCACAGTTTTACTATTCACTCATCATGTGTATTTAGCACACTGAATATCTGAGTTTTCTTCACTTTTAAAATAGTGATGGCAATATTATTTTTCCTTTTTGAGGCCTTACAATTTATTAACCCCTGTGACCTTGAGCAACTTAACCTCTCTACCATCTTTTAAAGATAATAGCACCTGTTCATAGAATTGTGATTGTTTAGCAAGCCAATTTATAAGTAAACACTAATTGTCAGTTCTATACGTTAGCAGGGTAAGCCAATAATAATAATCAATAAATATAAATTATTATTATCATTATTTAAATAATTGTTCTTTCCAGACTTTCAGAGCTTAAATTCCTCTTCCTGTATCTCAGCTTCCAAACCTTGTTTCTTCTACCAGCTAACACTCTTAAAACCAAAACCAGCTTCCCTAGCACATATTTATATTTGACCTTCATGCAGGCTTCTCCAATATTCCAGCTCCCTGGTCAGATGCTTTTGGCAATTAATTTATGTGTCCTTCCTAGGGCCCCAGCCTTCCCAGGACTCTTGCCCACTACCATCCGGACTTCGCCGCTTTTGAACATTCCTGCTGTTAAAAACAGCTAATACTTGCAAGACAGTAGTCAGGGTGAAAAAAAACAACTCAGTGACCTACCCAAAGATCAACCTCTGACCTTGACTTTATCAATGAGAATGTAAGTGAATGAATTAAAGAGAGTATTTAACATTATATGTACTTGCAATCATATTATTTCTGTAAATGGAGCCAATTGTATTTGTTTCTGTCATAAAAAGTTTTTAAAGAGATGATATAAAGTGGTTCATTTAGTAAATGTCATGTTATCTATTTAGAAATCATGACAGTGATGGTAAAAAAAAATCAGGAGTATGATCTTATTTCAGAGCCATAAACTAAGAATGGTGATAAAGCACACTGAGATTGTGGCACAATTTTGATAATGTTCAGCCTATAAAACTTCCTAATGTTTACATGCAGAAGTTCTCTGAGAACAGATCTAAATCCAAGAAAATACCCGCAAATCTGTGTCCAAATACAGAACTCTTTCGGATTCTGGCCCTCTCAATCCCAGAATGGCAGTTTTATGAGAGGGAACTATTGGCAAATAGAAAAGATAAATGGAACAGGATGAATCTCAGCTAAGGCAGGCTCAGGGGTTATTCATGACGGACTTCTAGAATATGGACTGTAACCATGCCCAGGATATAGCTTTCCATTTCTGCTCAGAATCAGACAGGAAGAAATGAGCTTAGATACAAAAAGCTCATGGGTAGACATTAAAATATAAAAAGAGATAAGTAAAAAAACCAGAGAATAACTCTCACTGACATTAGGGTGATTTAAAGAGGTACATGATAGTCTCCTAAAAATACACTAGGGGAAGAACAGGAAACTCATGTGTTCAAGTTTGGTCCTGCCTGGAAATCAAGGGGCTGACCCGGAGGCTATTCTAGGTTTTCTTTATAGTTTAAAGTTCCTCAGTACGTAACAAATATACGTGAAATTTTCAAAATGAACCTTTGCATTTTGTTAAATTTTCCTCACATGCAACATTATATTTTGAACTTCTGGCAAACACAGAAGAGACATAAGTAAGCACCAAACCACACTAGGAGGCTCAACATAAAAATTGTCCAGCAAACTTACAGTGTTATTGACTAATTAATGCATTCACTGTGCACATAACTACTGTCAATCTCTTAACCTTTGCTCTAACAAAGTCACTGAAAATACGATGCTAATAACAAATGATAACAACATTCTCAGTACCATTTCCCAAGTAAAGTGGTTCTCAAATTTTGTTTTCCCAGCCAATAACATCAGCATCAACTGTGAACTTATTACAAATATGAAAACATAGGCGCCACCCAGATCTATGGAATCAGGAACTTTGTGCTTGGATCCCAGCACTTTATCACTTCACAAGCCTTCTAGATGATTCTGGTGCACACTTAGGTTTAGAAATGGGACATAATGACCTGAAAAGACTATCCGTCATTTTTTCCCCAATTTTAGGTCAAAATGCAGTAACCTTGGCCAAAGTCACAACAGGAAATGTTGCAGGAGGAGTTCTAGAATGTAATTTCTTTCTTTGTCATTTTAAAGTAAAATAAGTCAGAGAGTCCTCTGAGATCTGCAGACACCAGGCAGAACCTCATTATGGAGCTGTTTCTGTACTGTCCCCCAAGTGGAAAAGATAAATATCCAACATGACAGTATTGGCAGTTCTCAGCCGGGGAACCACTCTGCCTTCTGGTCTGGGGTGCTGGCTTGCATAGACACATTATAAACTTCTAGCAAATATGTATTGAACACTTGTGACACATAAAACAGCCTCTCTACAAAAAGAAATTACAGCTGTCAGCTTGCATCTGAGTAGCCTCAGATTTAAAAGCTGATTGAAAATACCTGTGTAAGAAACCGTTTGTTACTAAAGGTGAAAAGTACAAGCTGATTTATTTTCTTGGAAATGTTTATAAAGAAGACAGTTTTTAAAAGATTGT